CTATTCCACTGATCCTCAGGTCTGTTCCTTTGCCAGTACCATGCTGATTTTATCACAGTAGCTTGTAGTATAGTTTCATGTTAGGGATTGTGATACCCCCATCCATGTCTCTGTTGCTTAGAATTGCTTTAGCTATTCTAGGTCTCTTATGGTTCCAAGTGAATTTTTGGATTGTTTTCTCTAGTTCTGTGAAGTATATTGTTGGAGTTTCAATTGGTATTGCATTGAATCTATATAGTAGCTTTGGAAGTATGGCCATTTTCACTATATTGGTTCTTCCTACCCAGGAGTAAGGGATGTTTTTCCATTTTCTTGTATCCTCTTCTATCTTTTTTTTTTCAGAATGCTGTAGTTTTCAGTGTAGAGGTCTTTTGTTTCCTTTGTTAGGTTGATTCCTAGATATTTTATTTTTTTTGGACGCTATTGTATAAGGAATTGTTTCCCTAATTTCTCTCTCAGTGAGTCTGTTATTTGTGTACAAGAAGGCTATTGATTTTTGATTGTGGACCTTGTATCCAGCTACTCTGCTGAGTCTGTCAATTAAATCTGGAAGTCTTTTAACAGAGTTTTTTTGGTCTTCTATGTAGAGTATCTTCTCAGAAAATAGTGACAATTTAACTTCTTCCTTTCCTATCTTTATTCCTTTTAATTTTTTTTATCTTGTCTAATTGCTATGGTTAGTGTTTCCAGAACTATATTGAACAGGAGTGATGATAGTTGATGTCCTTGTCTTGTTCCTGATTTTAACATGAAAGATTGATTTTTTGACCATTTAGTATGACGCTGGCTGTTGGTTTTTCATAGATAGCCTTAAACAGGTTCTGATAAAGACCTTCTATTCCAATTTTCTGTAGTGTTTTTATCATGAATGGGTGCTGGATTTTGTCAAATGCCTTTTCCTCATCTATTGAGATGATTGTATGGTTTTTGTCCTTGACTCTATTAATATAATGTATTATATTTATTGTTTTAGGAGTTGAACCATCCTTGCATCCCTGGGATAAATCTGACTTGGTCAGGGTGTATGATCTTCTTGATGACTCTCCATATTCTGTTTGGTAATATCTTGTTGAGGAATTGTGCATCTATGTTCATTAGGGAGATTGGCCTGTAGTTCTCTTTTTGTGTTGGGTCTTTCCCTGGTTTTGTAATCAAAGTAACACTTGCTTCAAGGAATGAATTTGGAAGTATTGCTTCCCTCTCAATTTCCTTGATGAGTTTAAAGAGTAATGGCAGTAGTTCTTCTTTAAATGTCTTGTAGAATTCAACAGTGAAGCCATCAGGACCTGGGCTTTTCTTTGTTGGTAAACTTTTTTATTACATTTTCAATTTCACTCATTGTAATTGGGGTGTTTAGAATTTCTATATCTTCTTCACTTAACTTTGGCAGTTCGTATGTATCTAGGAATCTGCCCATTTCTTCTGTGTTCTCCCTTTTATTGGAGTACAGGTTCTTGAAGTAGGTATTGATGATCCTCTGGATTTCTATTTGATCTGTTGTGACTTCACCTTTTTCATTCTTAATTGCATGGATTTGTGCCTTTTCTTTCCTTTTTTTGATAAGGTTGCCTAAAGGTTTATCAATTTTATTTATTTTTTCAGAAAACCAACTCTTTGATTCATTGATTTTTTATATCGTTCTTAGTCTCCATTGCATTGATTTCTGCTCTGATCTTTATAATTTCCTCTTTTGTATGAGCTTTGGATTTGTTATGCCCTTCTTTTTCTAGCAGCTTGTGGTTCTGCATTAGGTTATTTATCTGAGTTTTCTCTGTTTTCCTAATATTGGCATTCACTGCTATAAATTTCTTGCATAGAACTACTTTCATTGTGTCCAATAGACTCCTGTATGTTGTACTGGCATTTTCATTTATGTGTAGAAACTGTTTAATTTCTTCTTTAATTTCTTCTGTGATCCATTGGTTGTTCAAGAGGGTGTTATTCAGTTTCCATGTGTTTGTAGGGGTTTTGCAGTTTCCTATGTTATTGATCTCCAATTTTATTGCACTATAGTGTGATAATATACAAGGGGTAACTTCAATTCTTTTACATTTACTTCATCATATCCTATGAGCTAGCTGTGATCTATTCTGGAGAATGACCCATGTGCAGATGAAAATAATGTGTATTCTGATTTTGTGGGGTGGAACACTCTGTAAACATCTATTAAGTCCATTTGTTCAATAACTTGGTTC